TTTATATGGTACAATTCATTATATGCCACTATATGTATTATTATAATTTATTCGATTCCACTAAATAATAGTTTTTGTTCAAAACTTTCCTACACTAATTTCCCTCTGTTTTTACGGTTCTGAAAGGAGTGCACCTAAAGTCTAGGGTTTTAAGATCGCCCGAATTCCAGACTCTCGAAACCCAAATTTTATTTTTTAGGTGTTTAATCATTGTTGTTTGTTAAGTTTGTCGCAATCATCTCAACGCAATTGCAGGAGTCTCTGTATGATATCTCTTTATCTTCGCAGTCGCAACCACTCGTGAGCCAACTATTCTCGTATTTGCAGGCCCTCTCTGTGATATGTCCTAGCGTTTTTCCCAGTCATCGCCCTTCTAGCAATCATAGACACCTCTATATTCGATTTGGTTAATCGATTATTCAGATCAAACGATTAAGGTACCATTCAATGATTTAAGTAAGCAATTCGAAATGCCACAGAACTTAATCACATTCCAAATGTATCCAAAAACAGTATTGACACAAATAGGACTAGATTGATTAGTAAAATAGTGTGCCAAGTCTTAGAACCATCAAATCCAGAAAAAGACCAAAATAACACTTCTGTTGTCCTTTAATGCAGTTTTATTTTTCTAGCTTATCCGTGTGTTGCTATAGTCTTCAGTTTGTTCTTATCGAGATAGTTGATATGTGCTTAATTATTATTTATTTTCTAAACTATACCTTCCTTATTTAACACTATTTTGAATCCTCTTTGTTTTTTGACGGGAGATTGCTAGTATTGATTCTAGAGTAGGAGATAACACAATTTATTCAATCTAGCATGAAGTTTAGAGAAAAGTTCATCTGCAATTAAGTTTCTAGTTTTTTTTTTTACATTTTTTTTTTGTTTGGTACTCTATGTTTAGCATGTACTTGGTCACAAATTTAGACATATTTGATTCAAAGAGTTTAAAAATATTGATAAAAAAACAATGGAATTTTTATTATTTCTATGTGCTACGATTTAATTAATTTTTTATTTTATATTAAATAAAAATTATATTGATATAAGTAGCATAAATTACATAATCTCATGAGTATTGCCGGCGTAAAATGTGCCATAATTTTTTTTTTTTTTTTTTTTTTTTTTTTTTTTTTTTTTGCAAATAAAAAAGTGCCACTAAAGTCTTAAAATGTGTAACTAAAAGTGGCATGGATTCTTGAATCAAACGAACATACAATGGCACAAAATATGTGCCACAAAAACTTTTGTTTTCAGTGACAAATAAAAAAGTGTCACTAAAAGCTTAAAAAGCTGCAACGGCAAAAACTAAAAGTGTCACTAAAGGGTTTTAGTGGGAGCGTTTCTAGTGGCACTTATTATATATGTCGCAGATTCTCTGATAAGCTTTTAGTGACATTTTTTTATGTTTTTAGTGGCACTTTTTGTGTGCCACTAAATAACATATTTTTTGTAGTGTGTCTATAGAATTGTCACCAAGTTACGAATAAATGAAAACGGAGGAAATACCCACACTGTCAGTTATTATCAACATACATGCACATGTGGCAAGTGGCAGATGGAAAGATTTCCTTGTTCACATGCTCTTGCAGTTTGTCGTTTTAGAGGGGATAACCCTTTTTCAATTATCAATCATGTTTACACAACTGTGGTGTACAAGCAACAATATAACGACGGGTTTTCACCACTTCCTCATGTTGATTATTGTTAGAGGCTGATTGGAGTATTCAAGCAGATAACTCAAAATGTGCTGTTGGTTGAGGTCGGAGGCGTGCAAATCGATTTCGTAATGAGATGGATGTTCGCCATCCTGATGAACCTCGTAAATGTGGACTATGTCATCAACCTGGTCATAACAGGAGAAATTGTTCAAATTATCAACCAAGATTCAATGCGATGTGAACCATGTAACTTTTATTATTCTTGTAATTTTATGTTTAATTTAGTTTGTAGTTCATGTTTAATTTCTTTTGTAGTTGTGTGTTTAATTATCTTGTAATTTCGTAATTTCGTAACATGTAACATATTCAATATTGGTATCAATTAGAATGTGTTTATTAAATTTTTTTAATGGTGTAAATCGCAATAACATAATATACATATTTCAATTATATGTTTTTAATATATATAAATTTACATTTGTTGTAAAAAAACTAAAAATAATGATTTTTTTATAAAAAAAGATATAAAATAAAAATAACATATAAGTTGTGGGGTTATTATGAAAGTTGAAGGGGTCAAAATGTAAAATTATATATTTAGGTTGGTTTTTATGTGGGGCCACAAATAAAAAGAACCCATTTTTGCAAATGAAAATAAAATATTTTTACAAAGCGTTCAACCCATTTTTAAAAGTCTTTCTATATTCACCCATTTTTAAAAACCTTTCTATATTCAACCCATTTTTACAAAGCCTCTCTATTTATGTGTTCGGTTGCTAATCTCTCAATAAGCCATCACTGATTAGCTACATAATGAATCCGTGGCTGATTGTGTCGCTGAAGGTAAGGTTTCTGGTAGTGTCATAACCAGAGAACACCAAGTTCTTAACGCTCTTTGAAGTAATATCGAGACGCCTATAACCATAGCAATCACCCAACTCCAGAGTTTCCAATAAAGGGCTCCCAGATTATATGTTTTCAATCAAATCTTCATCTAATTTCCCTTTGTATATACTCAAAACTCCTAAGATTTTTCCAACTGATTGCCCCAGTTGGGTTTAGTATGCAGCTTTCTAACGTCAGATCAGTAAAACATGAATTGATGCAAAAATATTGATCCAGCGGAAACTCAACTTCGCATTCCAAATTCCATAACCTCAAATTAAGCTGCTCAACGTTGCGTCTTACAGCATAACGAATCCAACGTTTGACTTGTGATTCAAATCGAATATCATAACTGGTATACACTTCAAATCTTTTGAGCTTCAATTGGCGACACTGAGTAAGGGTTTTGTCGATGGAATCGGGCCACATGTGATTATCATCATAACGTTTGAAAATTAGAGTAGGAACCAAAGTCCAAAGATGTTTCCATCGCTTAGAGAGTGTACCTGTTCTAATGGCGTCTTTTGTGAAGGGTAAACGAGACAGGATTTCATGAAGCAAGCAATCTGGCAACCCACTGATTCGATCTTCTTCCCCATCCTCATCCTCAACGATTTCATTAAAATTTATCCGTTTTGGGGGAATTCTTGGTTTATTTTGTCCTTCTTCCACAGTTTCCATGGTGGCAAATTGGCAACAGAGACGTCGCTGCTTCCCCGAGGACTCCACTGAAAAAACTACACCAAAATCAAATTAGGCGCAATAGTGTGGCAGTGGTGAAGTGGAAGTTTGCTTTCGCCCCTGAGCTTTAACAAAACTACAGATCGGTCCTTATATAAATATAAGTACCGTTTTGATATTCAAATTAACTTTTGACGATTGTTTTTTAGCAATGGTTAAAAATGCCCTGGGTGGGAATACGAAAGTTGAAACAAAGATAAATAAATTATAACTTATCACATCTCTTACACTACAATGATACTTTATAATTAGAAATCGAAAACTTTAATTCCATTGTGACCATATCTTGTGAAGACTATGTAACAAACATTTGAATTGCTATTTTAAACGGCTGTGATCTAATTTCAGCAAAATGAAATGATTCAAAATGCTCATCATTCTCTCTTATACGGCTACAAGAATATATAAACTCCTACAAACATTGTGACTTCACAAACATGAGACAACATCATACTCCAAAACTCAATGGTATATATAACAACACAACCACTTAGGTACAATCCATAGGTTGGTCAAGACAAGAGCATACAAGAAACATTTTTCCACTTTGCTCAAGAGAATGCCATAACTCATACAAGAACAGAGATTACACACAGTAACAACTAATAACGCATTAGCTAAATTAGAGAAAGAACATATGAAACATTTAATTGATCAATATCTAAAATAAGAAAGTGATCCACAAACCACATGAGAGGACCCAATGGAACCATGTACACCAAAAACAAACAGAAAAATAGATGAAATAATTCATGATAACTAAAATGCCTAAACATAGATTCAAAACATCACCAATCTCCACTTTCAACTGAATTCTCATCAGTATCAGTATCAGTATCAGTATCACTCCCACTCCCACTCCCACTCTCAGAGCAATCATAGGTAACATCAGGAAACTTGATATTTGGTGGAACAACAAAACCTTTAGCTTCCAAACGAGACACAACCTACAACAGAAACATACAAGTGAGAAAACAACAAAAATGAGAAGCATGAAGTACTACTAAAGCTAATGCTCATATGATATTTTTAAAGATATAAGTTGTAAAAACGAAAGAAAATTCACCTTAGAACAGCATGACCCAATTTTGAGCTCCTTAACATGGTGAAGGTTTAGTATAAATCCTTTAAGCATCTCTTCTTCTGTTTCACTATGTGTTGTCTCCCAATCCCCAAGCTTTGTATAATCTAAGTTGGCTTCAACTAAAGAAGACACATTCACCAACATAAGCTTCCACAACACCAAATCATCTTTGATTGTTAGTGATAAAATATTAGGAGCATTGATTTCGATAATATTGACATGATCAAATACATCAAAAACATCAGTGTATCCAAAGAACACCAAATTTCTTAACGCTCTTTGAAGTAATATCGAGTCGCCTATAACCATAGCAATATTCCAACACCAAAGTTTCCAGCAGAGGACTCCCGGATAATATGTTTTCAATCAAAACTTCATCTAATTTCCCATAGGAAATACACAGATTCCTAAGATTTTTCCAACTAATCGCCCCAGTTGGATTCAGTTTGCAACCTTCTAATGCCAGATCAGTAAAACATGAACTGAAGAAAAAAAACTGATCCAACAGAAACACAGCTTCCAATCCCCTATACCAAAACTTCAATTTAAGCTCTTCAACATCACAACTTATAGCATAATGAAGCCAATTTTCGACTTGCAATCCAAATTGAGTATCATAACTGGTACACACTACGAATTTCTTGAGCTTCAATTGGCAACATTGACTTAGGGTTTTGTCCACCAATGAAACAAAATCGGACCTTGAGTTACGGTTTTGGCGACATTGAGTTAGAGGAATATCTGAATGTTTAAAAATGAGAGTAGGTACCGATTTCCAAAGATGTTTCCATCGCTTGGAGAGTGTACCTGTTCTAATGGTGTATTTTGTGGAGGGTAAACGAGACAGGATTTCAAGAAGCAGGCAATCTGTCAATGTACTGATTCGATCCTCTTCCTCCTTCTCTATAATTTCTTGAAGCTTTATTCGTTTTGGGGCAATTTTAGGTTTATGTCGTTCTTCCAACATTTCCATGGTGACAACAGAGCCCTCGCAGGTTAGCACATGAAAAAACTGCGCAAAACACAAATTAGGCGTGTATAGATAATCTGAAGTTTTGCTTTAGCCCCCTAAACTTTGAAAATATCCCACCCCGCCCATAAAATTGAGATATATTTCCATATTCAAATCATTTTTTTCTAGTAATGGATCATTAGCCAAATGTTAAAAGTAGGGCTGTACCTTCGTGATGCAATATCTAAAATAAGATTATTGAACTTGATTAAAAATATTGAATGTAGTCAAAATAATGGACACAAGATTAGTTTATTAGTTTATGTAAAGTTTTTGGGTGATATCCGTACACAACAATTTATATTTTATACAGTTGTACAGTACAATCGTGTAAAACATAAATTTTTATGTATGAATAAAAAATGTTTTGTACAAATCATACTCAAAGTTTTCCAATATATTTTATATCTGTATTTTGGTGATATTTTGTGTTGAGATAAATTATAAATAACTTATCATTGAAATATGTGATTTATGATGATCACAACAGTGTAATTAGTATGGAAATCGCACGATTTTTAGGGTATCATATCATGTTCAATAAAAGATTACATATAATTTATTAAATTCTCGTGTATCCGAACATCCGTAGAACTTCAAACTAATTTGAAACTCGTATGATGTTGCGATAATTTATGAAAGTACACTAGGTGAGACATAATTTACTGTATCATCAAGGTGATTACCTAGTTTCAAAAGAAAAAGTCAGTGGAAAAAAACATGTTATACTATAATTCTTAAGGCTACAGGGAGTGGGTGCGGCTGAGGCCGCACTCCCCTTGCCACATAAGCACAAACACTGCCCCTGGGTGCGGTAGAGGGTGCAGTGCGGTATTCAAAGGGAGCATTCCTTCAAACAACGTGATTGGTTCCTTTTATTTAATAAAAAAAATATTCAAGTGTGGCACCACTCCTTAGGTGTGGTATGAAACCACACTTTTGTGGTAATGAGTGAGGTTGTGTCTACGTGTCACTGCGGTTTCATGAGGGAGTGCGGCACCACTCCCTCCAGCCTAAGACACCTAAGAAACACAATGTTCACCATCTCCATTCGCCAACCCCATTAAATTCATGTTTCAACTGTTGAGACCCTTAACTGTTTAACACATCATGCTCACAAAAGAACCAATCCTAATGGGCTTTTTTGGACTAGACTAGGCAATGACTTGTTAAAAAAAATAGATCGGTCCAGAATGGGGTCAAGGCTTTTTCAAAAGAATATGTAACTGGGCTTTTACCATAACAAATTTTCATTTTCATTCTCATTCTCATGTTTCCATATTTTTAATTTCTTGTCATTGATAATATCATTTTTATTAAAGGAAAATCAGGCAACACCAAATCAACAAGTAAACTTTACAAAAAAAAAAAGAAAAAGAAAAAAAATCATAATAACTAAAATGCGTGAACCTGAATTCATGGCAAGACATCATGATATATATCAATATCATCAATCAATTAACATTATCACCTCGTCAAGGAAGAGCACCTCTCATAGTATAAAGGCAAAGTAACATCTCACAGCGTGAATCAGTATTATAGTATAAAGGCAAAGCAACATCAAGAAACTTGCATTGCACCTCTCATTCTGGCGGGAATCAATATCATAGTATAAAGGCAAAGGAACATTAAGAAACTTCATATTTGATGGAAAAGTGAAACTTTTTGCTTCCAAGCAAGACAAAACCTACTGGCACAATAATACGACTGAAAAGGAGAACAAATATTGGAACCATGCATTCCATGTATAGCCACTGCTCTATAAATAAACGTCAAGCCTTTAGAGCAAAGAATTTGACCTTTGTTTTATGAGATTCAGCTTCAACAAAAGTTTGAGTCAATAAGGGAATTATGTTCTAGTGTGGCAAAAAGCAGTTTGGAGAATGTGTATGAATTAGCGGACTTGGTGTTAGCATAAGACATATTAACCCAAGTTATTTGGAACAAGACTGAACAAACAACAAAACATATATGTGCTACTAGTACGGGGAAATGACATATTAACCGAAGTTATAGAGATAATCAAGACTTGGTGTTAGCATAAGACAGAACAACACAATAAAAATAGCATACACACATTTTAGAATCTTGGTGATAATTACGCAATACATCATTATATAACATTTTTAGCAAAACTGGAAACACAAATTTTAAAACCCCATATAATTATTTTCATTTTAATAAAGTTTTCATAACCAATTGCCTCAAAAAGGAGGACTACCTAACCCTAACAACTATATTTCAATTGCTATTTTAGAGCATTATGGTTTAATTTCAATCAACCGGGTTATTCTAAATGTTTCACATTCACCTAAATAGTAAGGGAAAATGACTCTTGAGGGTAACTAACTGTTGAGTTTGTTTTCATTTGGTCCCTTTCCTTTTTTTTGTACTCAATATACCATCAAACTTTTTTTTGTGTTCACCATAACTCTTTTGACCGACTTTTGACCTGTGATAGCCGGTCAAAGGGTTATGGTGAACACAAACAACAAGTTCGATGGTATATTGGATACAAAAAAGAAAGGGATTAAATGAGAACAAACTCAACAGTTGGTTACCCTCCTGAGTCATTTTTCTCAAAAAGTTAAATGAAATTAAAGCTGCAAAAGTATCAAAGATTGTAACCTTCTTAGGCCATAACGTACATGAAGAGCGTTTCGGAGGGGTAGCTTCGTTAAAACATGGTCTATGTTATGCTTACTATGGTTAGCTGTCAACAACACTCTGCAAAAGGATATGACTGTGTATGAGAGGTATCTTTATCAACATAAACGTTTACCTCAAGGTATATTATGGTGATGTGTCTATAAAAGCTGCCTGATCTTGTACATATTGATGTTGTATCTTATCCCCTGAATTCGATCTTAAAGCCAAGTAAACTTAAAACTCACAGCATTTGTGATTCCACTCGTTTATAGACTTGTCCAGAATCCATGATACGATAAATCATTTGATTGGAAATATAAATTTAGTCATGAAATGCACCTGCTTAATCAAGATTCCCCTAATAAATATTCAAGTGCATTACAAAGTTGTATATGTATGAATAATGTTCTTTCGTGAGTTATGTTTTAAAGAGAAGCAATAATGAATCTCATTTGGTCCCTTTCCTTTTTGTGTACCCAATATACCATCGAACTTGTTGTTTGTGTTCACCATAACCCTTTTGACCGACTATCACAGGTCAACAGTCTGTCAAAAGGGTTATGGTGAACACAAACAACAAGTTCGATGGTATATTGAGTACAAAAAAAAGGAAAGGAACCAAATGAAAACAAACTCAACAGTTAGTTACCCTCTAGAGTCATTTTCCCATATAGTAAATAACAATAATTTTAGGTTTATTTAATCTGCCTTTCTAACCTTGTTTCCATGGCCCACGATAGACAGTGGCAAGTCTAGAATAAAAAACCATATGGTTCACTAATTTTTCTATATATATTTTTCCATACAAATTCAAATATTTTTATAGGTAAGGTAGGTCCTAAATTTTTTTAAGGTAGGTCCCTAAAAAATTTCTATAGATATTTTAAATAAATTAAAAAAATTAGGTGGGTCCTAGGACCCACCTTCCTTACACCTAGCCTCGCTACTGACGACAGAGCTATTTGTAAGACTGCATCGACCCGGACATGTGGCTGGGCAGCTGACTGCTTTGCTTTCCACATAAAAAGTTACTGCACGAAAACGAACTCAATTGGGCATAAATGTATACAAATTGTGATATGGAGTAATGCTTTTCCCCCTTAATTTTGAAATATTACAACTCAATCCCTACAAAAATACTATTTTTTTTATAAAATCGGTATTTGATGATGAGTTTAGGGTAAATAGCACAAAAGACACTAAGTTTATACTAAAATTCTAATTTGACACCGTGTTTTTTTTGTCTTAAATTTGACAATGTGTTTTCTAATTTTTTACAATTCTAACCATTTGACTGTCCAACCCGGTTACCTGCTGACGTGGCATGTTGACTTGTCAGTTTTTGATGACGTGACATGCTGACGTGTCAAAATTGATTTTTTTTCTCACAAAAGACACTAAGTTTTCATTTTTTTCGATTTTGACACTAAGTTTAATTTTTTTTTCTTTCAATTTGACATTTTGTTTATTTATTCCAAACGAAACATCATTTTTCCAATTTTGTTAAATTTGACAATTTTCCATTTAAAACCGTATAAATATATTTTTTTATTACATTTTAAACCGTATAAATAAAAAAAATTCATTTAAAAAACACATTTTTATATAAATAAAAGTTTATTTATTTATTTATTTTTTACCTTCAAAACATAATGTTATGCATAAATATACATTAGTTATATTATGAGAACCAAACTAGCCATCAACTTCAAACAAAATGTAAAAATTTCATGCGTTGCAAACCTGATAACATTTGGGTCTTAGTCGACTACACGCCTCCAAATCTCTAAACTAATTTTAAAATTGCGTATATATAAAATATGATTTTCATATAACTAATACATATTTATACCCAAAACTCTGGTTTGAATGTAAAAAAAAAACCTTGTGTGTGTGTGTCTATATAAATATATATATATATATATATATATATACACACACACACGATTTAAAATGTATTAAAAAATATTTGTGCGGTTTCAAATGAGAAATGATCAATATTGAACAAAATTGAAAAGAAAATGATGTTCGATTTGGAACAAAAAAACTGAGTGTAAAAAATAAAAGAAAAAAATTTTAATTTAATGTCAAAATTGAATAAAAAATAAAAAGTTAGTGCTTTTTTTGTGAAAAAAAATCGATTTTGACACGTCGCATGTCATGTCATCAAAAACTCACACGTCATCATGCCACGTCAGCAAGTGACCGGGTTGACCAGGTAACTGGGTTGACCGGTCGAATTGTAAAAAATTTGAGAACACAATGTCAAATTTGAGAAAAAAAAACCCAGTGTCAATCTAGAATTTTAATGT